CTCCTCCCTCCTCCTCCTCCTCCTCCTCCTCCTCCTCCTCCTCCTCCTCCTCCTCCTCCTCCTCCTCCTCCTATCCCCGCCCGACGTTGCCCCTGTTTCCACGCCGCAGGCGGGTCTGCAGCTTCACTCCTCCCCTCTCTCCTCCCGCCGGGTGCTGCTACTTGTGGTCCTGGCCCAAGGTGTCCCCAGCTCCTCGCGCCAGGTTGGAGCCCCGAACTTGACGGGGCCAGGACGAGGATAGATCCGTTCCGGAATGCTCTCAGAATCGGGGGCGCGCAAGCATGGATCAGCGATTCATGGATTCAGCGCGCGGTCGCAAATCCATGGGTGTCACGAAAATGCGGCCGATGCCGCCTCGCTCAGCAGCGGAAGTCCGCGATTTCACATGGAAACGGGACCCGTTGCTAATCCACGTCGCCTTGATCCATGTTTGCGATCGCCTGAGAAAAGGCCGCGGCGCCCGAGAGATCCTCCAGAGCCGCCAGATCTCAGAGACTCTCGGCTCGTCCCTTCACGATGATATTCTCGTCGTCTCTTCGTCTTACCGAGGGCCCTGTGGGCTTGGGCCCCGTGAGGGGTGCTTCCAGACCCCCGACGTAATGATTTTTCACGCACCGTCGAGCCCCAGACTGTCTCGACTTAGGTCGGGCATGTCCCCGTACAGGCGGATGTTCGAAGACACACAAAAAAAAAACATACTCCCCACCCCCAAAAAATGGCAGAAGGATCGTCCCCTGACTATTGTGTAACTATTGTGGACTATTCCTCCGGTAGAGGGACAAGCCCGACTCAAGTCTCTCTTCCCGAGCCGCTCCTGGCCTACCCCAAGGCCCGGCAAGGGCCCGCAGAGGCCAGAAAGAGCGAAAAACCTTACGTCCCAAAGATCCGATGCTCCGAAAAAAACTGAGAGGCCGGTTTCTGATCCGTTTTCCGCCTCAGGGGGCCCTTGCCGGGCCTCGGAACGGTCAAAGAGCGACTCAGGGCAAAAAAACCGGCCCTGGGGAAGCGATCCAGACCTCCAGGGCGCACGCACCGAAAAAAATAGAGCGGCTGGATGTCTGAGGTATTGATTGTTTCCCTAAACGCGAATGTCGTCACTCGACTGTCCTGGGGCCAGGTAGGGGTCCCCAGAGGCCGAAAAATTAAAAGAAACCTTCCTGCGTGTTACTTTCAAAGCGCGAGAGGGCCTGGAGCGATTTTTGACTCGCAACCACAACGGGCGGTGTTATGGGGGAGACGGGGGGGAGGGGACGGGAGGGGGCAGAACGTGGCGCCCCCCAAAACAAAAAGCGTGGCGCCGGACGCACTGCGGCAGTGCCGGCTGGGGGCGCACACTGAAAGGAGGGAAGCGCTGCGTCACGCTATGGGGGAGGAGGGAGAGGGCAGGACGCATAAGAAAAATGGAACACAAAAATCAAAAGAAAACAAAATGACTCACTGCGCGGAGATCCCCATGTGCATCTTTTCAAAAAGGATACTTGTCAGTGGGATTTGGGAATGCGCGTCTAGCCATGCAACTCAACATGCGGATATAATGTTGTACAAGTGTAGGATTGTGCCAAGGCGAGCGTCTGTCAGTGATACACTTTGTTAGGCGCGCTTCCATGTGAGCGACAAGCGCACGCGCGGGCAGCGAAGCTGCACAAACACCTCCTGTAAACGTTTACTCAAACACATACGACTACGTGTCTTTTCTTTCTACGGCAAAGATCTCTTCCGTTGGCTCCCCGTCCGAAGCACCAGGTGGAGAGTACGAATGACAAGCGCTTCGGACGACACCTCAAGATCTGCCCTTCAGCATGAGAAAGTGCACCTTTCAAGTTCCCTCTCCCGCAGCTAGAGAGAGTGAACCTTTTTTTCAAGTTCCCTCCCTAGCCCAAAACGCACGCGGGACAGTGAACCATCTCAAGTTCCCTCTAACGCTAACGACGACCAGACTGGAAAACACCACGGGCCAAGAAAGCAACATCCCACGGTGGCACAGGCTCTGCGCCAGCAGCACCTGGTCACTCCTCTTTGATCGCCGTACGCAGCAGGGGAAGCCACGCGGAAAACCACGCAAAAATAGAAAACATGCGCATGCGGGGAAGTGAATCTTTGCAAGTTCCCTTTCCCGCGACTGAAGGTTGAACCTTTTTCAAGTCCCCCCTTCAGTCCAACCGCGGGAGAGTGAACATTTTCAAGTTCCCTCGCCCCTGCCTGGAGAGTGAACCTTTTCAAGTTCCCTCTCCAGTTCGACCACAAGCGGGGAATGAAACCTGTTCAAGTTCACTCTCCCGTAGCTACAAAGAGTGAACCTTGACAAGTTCCATCCCTAGCCCAAAACGCACGCGGGAGAGTGAACCTTCTCAAGTTCCCTCTCCCGTTGAAGACGAAAATCGGCAAGCACCACGGGCCAAAAAAACAACATCCCACGAAGACACAAGCTCTGCGCCAGCAACACCTGGTCACCCCTCCTTGGTCGCTGTGCGCGGCAAGGGGAGCCACTTGGGACACAACGCAAAAACAGAAAACAAGCACACCGCTTGAGACACCCCCACAGAACGGCCACGAACGGAGCCTTGAAAACACCCTTGGCGGCTCCCCCTAGGGGTGCTGAAACCAGCGCCCCGCCTGAGACATCCGCACAATCTACTCTGGTAGCCAAAGATGTTGAAACAAAAATCAATCAAACCGCTTGAGACATCCCCACAAAACGGCCGCGAACGGGACCGTGAAATCACCCCTGGCGGCTCCCATTAGGGGTGCTGAAACCAGCGCCCCGCAATTCTGAGTATGAGTTAGTCTGGGTATGAGTGAGTCTCAGCATGAATAACTCTGAGTAGGAGTAGATCTGAGTATGAGTAGGTCTGAGTATGAGTAAGCTTGTGTCTATTCGCATGGACCTGTCCGCCGTGAATGTCTAGGCGCAAGAGTTTTCCAATATAAACGGGCTTCAGTTGTGACGGTCTGGTCATGAATCTAAGAATGAATTGGAGTGTGAACGAGCCTCAGTAGTACGAGCGCGTCTCTGCGCATGAGCCTGGGTCCTCCTGGGGTCTCCTGAGGCCACCTGAAACCTACTGGGGCTTCCTGGGGCCTCCAGGAGCCTCTTGGGGCCTCCTGGGGCCTCCTGGGACCTCTTAGGGAGGATTCGTGCCCCAGGAGAGGCCCAATCTATAGCAACAGACGTACATTAAACATTGCGGATTGGAGCCACAGGAGAGGGGGGCGATCTATAGGAACACACATAAAACACCAAGGACTCGTGCCCCAGGAGAGGCCCTATAGGAACAGAAGTACACAGGAGAAGGACAATATATAGAAACATACGTATAACATCAAGGATTCGTGCTCCAGATGAGGCCCAATCTATAGGAGCATACTTCAAACACATGGGATTGGAGCCACTCCTGTTGCCTTCTGAGGCCTCATCATGTGGCCTCTTGAGTCTTTCTGTGGCCTCCTGATGCCTCCTGGGACCTCATGTGGTCTCCTGGGGCCTCCTGGCGCATGTTGGAGCCTCCTGTGGCATCGTGAAAAGAATCTGTGCCCGCGAGTCTGGCCACCGATCGAGACATCCTCAAAATCTGGCCCACCTGCGGGGTGAAAATGAGCGCCTCGCTCGAGACATCCTCCAAATCTGCTCCGAAAGCGAAGATATTGTGACAGAAAATAAGCAAACCGCTTGAGACATCCCCTCAAAACGGCCGCGAACGGGACCGTGCAATACCCCTCGGCGGCTCCCCTTAGGAACGTGAAAATGAGCGCCTCGCTCGAGACATCCTCCAAATCTGCTCCGAAAGCGAAGGATGTTGAGACAGAAAACAGGCAAACCGCTCGAGACATCCCCACAAAAAGGCCGCGAACGGGGCGTGCGTGAGTCTCAGCATGAGTAAGTCTGAGTAGGAGTAGGTCTGAGTAGGAGTAGGTCTGAGTATGAATAATTTGTGTCTGAGTAAGTCTGGGTATGAGTAAATCTGAGTGTGAGTAAGTCTGTGTATGAGGAAGTCTGGGCATGAGGAGGAGAAAAAGGAGGAGAAGGAGAAGGAGGAGAAGTAGGAGGCGTTCAAGTAATAACAAGAACCCAATCTTAGGATATGCGACAAAAACTCTCCTGGGCGCTGGAAGCCAGCCTGGGCCCCCCCTCGGAAATCCAGGAGGGCACCCTGGGCCGCGAGGGCGCTTCCGGCAACACCCGGCCCCTGGCCGCGCGCCGGTCGGCCGAGACACGCGCGCGGTCCAGCGCCGGGGCGGCGGGGCCCGGGCGCGCGTGGCTGCGAGGCGGCGGCGATGGCCCCAGCCACCTTCGGGCGTACCCCCCCCATGCGCACGCGGCGGGGCAAAGCTTAGGTCGGGCATGTCCCCCTACAGCCGGATGTTGGACGAAAAACTTTGAAAAGTATGCAACACATGCTCCAAGTAAATCGTCCCCCGAATGTTTTGTTCACTCTTTCTGAATTTTCCTTCTGTAGAGGGACAGGCCCGACTTAAGGCAAGGCCCAGACCCAGAGAAAACTCTGTTGGGTCCGAGATGCCTTCGAGGGCCTCTGGAGACCTCCAGAGGCCTCCAGAGGCTTGGGCAGGGAGGAGGGGGGCAGGAGGTCGGGGGGAGGAGAGGGGAGAGGGCGAAAAGAGGGTGTGACGGGAGAGGGGGAGAGGTGAGGAAGCGGAAGGCACGGGGAGTGGACGAAGGCGCGCTCAGATGTGCCAGGGCGCGGTCCTCTAAGGAGGCAACCACACGTTAACACGTTAACCCTCCTCCTGACGGACTCAGCTCTGAAACACTTGCGGGGGCTCCGAATTCACAGGACGCCTGCAACCGTGTGAACCCTTGTGGTGGTGGTGGTGCCCAAACCTGGGGCCCCGCAGGGGGGAGGGTCCGCAAGTGGCCGCCGCCGCCGCTTTCGTCGCCGTCGTCGTCGCCGTCGTCGTCGTCGTCGCCGTCGCCGTCGCCGTCGTCGCCGCCACCCGCCGTAGCCATTTTGGCTCAAGATGCCTAGTTCCGCAGGGGAACAAGTGGATACCGCTAGTCCGCGGCCAGTGCCAGGGCTCGTGAGCCCGACAGCTTTCAACTCCCCGTGTGCCTCCTGCTGCCCGCAGGTGAGCTCTCTCCTCATCCCTCACCAGACATGTCCAAGCCTGGCTATGTCAAGTGTGCGGCGTGCTCGTACAATTGGACGTGGAAAGGCAAAGACAGGTGCTTCAGTTGTGGCAAGTCGCTCGAGCTGGCGGTCACTCCGTGGCGCAGCCAGCAGCCGCGCGGGGCCTGGGACACGCGTGTGCAGGCTGCGTTGCAGGACGAGCAGGCGGGCTGGCATGACGGCTGGAAGCCATGGAGCGCCTGGCCCAAGTCCAAGGGTGGCCGCAAGCGGCAGCCACAGTCACAACCCTCGTCCAAGCCGCCCGACGCCGAGCCGACGGACACTGACGCCCTCTTGGCCATGCTGGACAAATCTCTTTCGGAGGAGGCCCGCGCTGAGCTGGCACTCTTCAAAGACAAGATCGCACCGCCCAAGCCAGCTCAGCAGGAATCACTCGACGCGAAGTACCAACGCCTCCTTGCAGCTGAACGTAAGGCAGCGGCAGCACTTACGAAGGCGGCAACCTCGGAGAGCAAGGCCAAGGAGTGGGTCGTCCAATGCGAGGCCCACACTCAGCACTGCGCGGAGGCCCTCGGCGACGCCCAGGCCGCGGTGCAGGAGACCCTCGATGCGATCAACGAGGCTCGCGGCACGCGGGCGCCCTCGGCGTTCAAGTCGACGGCAGGCGGCCTCAACCTCAGCAAGCTCCTCCTCAGCGGGGAGGACCTCGCCTTTGAAGAGGGCGAGGCCTTTGACACCTCCGACCTTGAGCTCGACGCCGAGGACGCCAAGAAGTGGGCCGACCTCAAGCAGCAATTCCTCGACGAGCTCAAGACGAAGGTCAAGGAGGTCTTCGGCTCAGGCGCCACGGCTATCCAGCAGCGCAAGCAAGAGCTGGAAGCCTTGCGCAGCAGGCTCCGCGCCAAGCGGCCTCGCACCGAGGCTGACGGCAGTGGGGCTCAGGCCGCCGAGGCGGGCGCGGGCAGCGCCGCGACACCACCCGCTGCTGCAGCTGATGGTGGTGATGGCGGTCGCCCTGGCCCTGAGGCTGCATCTCCTGCCGCTGCGTCTGCCGCCGCTCCTGCCGCAGCCAGTGCAGCAAAGCGATCGGATGCAGCCACCAAGCTTGCCGAGGCGGCAAGGGCTCGCGCCCGCGAGGAGCGAACCAAAGATAAGGAGGACATTTAGCCAGCCCAGCTTTCGCACGATCTATGTGCGGAACATTACCGACTGGGGGCCAAAGTGCAAGAAGATCGTCAAGTCCCCGCCGTTCCAGGCGGACATCCTCGGACTATTGGAGACGCATCAGAGCGAGCGCACCAGTGACGCTGTGCTTGCAGAGTTCGATGCATCAGCTTGGAAGGCAGTTATCTCACCGTCGCGAGCCGACGGCACAGCGCAGAAGGCAGGTGGAGTCGTCTTGGGAGCCCGACGCCACCTACAGTGTTCATCATTGGACCACCTGGCCCGCTATCGCTACCAGACAAAGGGACAGTTGCGGCACAGGAAGCCAGAGCCCCACTTCGTCGCAGGGCCCATCGACTTCTGGGACTTCCAGGCGCTCACCATCCAGATGCAGCATGGCCAGCTCACGGTGCTCATCGTGTACCTCACCACATCCATCGGGGTGGCTGGCCAGAACCTTATCAAGCTACAGAACCTCGGAGCTGTCATCAAGAGTCTCACGGGGGACTGGATCGCGATTGGCGATTGGAACGTGGTACCAACGGAGCTGGAGGAGTCAGGATGGGTCAACTACGTCGACGGCCGCATCTGTAAGCCCTCCAACGTCTCGTTCACTCAGTTCACAGGTGGCCGCATGCTGGATTACGCGGTCATCGGAGGGCCAGGTCATCACGTGCCCGCCAAACTCTTTGCGGACACGATGGGAGACCACAAGAGCCACATGGGCCTGGTGGCCCAGTACACTTCACAGTCGGCGCCAGCATGGGCTCTGATCTTGCCGACTCCCTTCTCCTTCGCTCACCCTCCAGCGGAGCAGAAGGCCGCCGACCCGAATAGCAAGCGCTCACGGGCCAAGCGCGAGGCTGAGCAGCGCAGGCTCGAGCGTATGCAGGACAACCCCTTGGAGGCCCTCAACCCAGAGGTCACCGAGGCGGCGTCTCAGCAGCAGCCAGTGGATGGCCCACCCCTGCCCGCGCACATGTGCGAGCCGCCTCCGAGAGGAGGCCGCGCGGTGCCAGCCGACCTGCCGTCGCGGGCCCCCGGTGGCCCTGCGATCTGGCGGTCGGCCGAGGCAGGGGCAGCCCCCAGTGCTGCGGAGGCGCAAGACATGGACCACGGCGAGCTGCAGTCCCACGACCGATTGCTGGGCTTCCCGATGACGCCGCCGTGCCCGACGGTGGCCAGGCGCACGGCGGCCGAGAAGGACGAGCTGTGGGCACAGGTCTGCCACCGCCAGGTCCAGTACGATGCACCGCCCGACTACATTCGGGACTCCCAGGCGTACCAGTCCTCATCCGAGGCCGCCGACGACCTGGGCAAGCAGTACGCCAAGTGGATCACGCACGTGGAATATTTCTACACAGACATCATGAATGTATCAGCTGATGAGAGGCACCGCTATGTTGGCCGAGGCATGGCACGCGCTCCTGCCCATATGAAGATCCGAGCACCTCGAGCAGGCACGGGTGCGTGTACCTCCAATCGGGCAACGCGATGGTGGAGCACTATGGCAGCATGTACTCAGCTGCTGGCAAAGGCCATGGCCAGGACCAACGACGCGCTCTCCGAGGCTGGTGAGAACGCGGCAGACATCATCTACACCCATGCACACGCTATGCCTGATGACAACCTTGTTCCCATTGACAACGCCACCAAGCTCAAGTGGCAGCATGGTCTATCAGCTGTGCGTGAATGGTCTACTGACCAGGCTGCCACCATGGCCTATGCATTGGGGATCCTGGCCGACAGGTTCCAGCGCGCTGAGGTCCGACAAGGACTACAGGCCTTCCAGGAGTGGGTCATCCAGTGCACGGCCAAGAGACCTAGCAAGGTCCTCAAGTGGAACACCGACTCAGCGGGGCCGATCATGGAGTACGGGGTCGGGCCTACGGCGTCCACCGACCTCTTTAGCATCATGGAGGGCAAGCGAGGCGCATGGTCGCAGCGCTGGAGTGGCACGGTCAACCTCTCCGACCTCCAGGCGTTCCGCCGCAAGTGCAGGCTCCTTGAGGAACTAGAGGACGCATGGCAGCCCATAGACCCCTACCTCATACATGACAAGGCCACCGCCCTGCCCAACGCCACGGGCCGCGGCAGTGACAACCTCGGCCCCCTGGACATTCGCAACTTGCCGTTCCAGGCCAAGCAGGGCCTGGCCGATTTCTTCAACCAGTGCGAGAGGCAGATGGCGTGGCCGTGGCAGCTCATGAGTGTACTTGTAGGCATGCTCCCGAAGCCAGACGGCTCGGATAGGGGTGTCGCATTGATCCCATGGCTCATGCGCTTCTGGGCGCAGATGCGTAAGGTCATCGGGGCCGACTGGTGCGCGGCCAAGGCAGGCCACTGGGACCAGGCCATCAAGGGCAGCAGTGCCCTCCAGTGCGGCATCTTCCGCCTGTTCTGCGATGAAGTCGACGACGAGCTGGACATACACTACGCCAACGTGATGTGGGACTTCGCAGAATTCTACGACAGCGTCAACCCCATCATGGCATTCGAGGCGGCTCTCAGACTCGACTTCTCGCCCAGGAAGCTTGGCATGGCGGCGGTCCTGTATATGTCGCCGAGGATGCTGCGCTCCAGGGGCGCGATCGCGGCACCCATTCAGCCCACGGGATCGCTGTTGACAGGAGACAGCGATGCAAATAATCTGGCCAGAGCTGTTTTATATGATTTGCTCGATGATATCCACCGCCAGTTTTTACCCAGAGGTGTCAGATCATACCAATGGGTTGACGATATAAACCAGCGCGCTGAAGGGCCAAAACATGTCCTGGCTCCTGTCCTCGCCAAGGCGGCCTCCGTTTTCTTCCATGGTGCCCGTTCCCTTGGCCTCGACATTTCGGGGAAGTCTGGGGTTATCGGTACCGACATCGATATGGCCAAAGCAGTTTGCGCTGAATTTAATAAGAATGTGCCCGAGTTTAAACTTACACCCAGTGCGGTGATTGCTGACCTTGGGCTCGAAAGGGGGTCCAGAAGGCAGAATAAGATCAAGCATAACAAGCGCGTCAGCCAAGCGTTCCGCCAGCTTTCTAAGTTTCGCAAGGTTTCTAAGTTTAGTCGCATCCGCCTAGCCAGGCGGAAGCTGACCCTGATGTCTCCCGTTCCCCGCATTGCCTACGGAGCTATGGCTACAGGCATGGCCCCGTCCCAGATTTTGAAGGTTCAACGCGCTGTGGCGGGGGCGTTAGGGGGTCGCAAGGCTGGACGCTGCCTGACTGCATACCTGGCGCTTGAACTCGGGAATCGCAACCCAGGCATCGAACTTAGAGTCCGCCAGCTGCAGACGTGGTTTCAGTTTATCACCCGTGACAAAGACAGTGAGCACGTCCTTCCCAGACTCGCCAGAGCTTGGCCCAAGGTGGCCAACCGTGTCGCCCAGACCCCGAAGACCGACCGCTGGAGACATGTCCGAGGACCGATGGCGGGGGCGGTCGCGGCGCTTCTGGATGCGGGTTGGACGGCCACTGATGACACGTTTTTAACTTGGTGCTCACCAGTCACAGACGACTGGTGGCGACTTTCACTGCAGTCTGGCGATATCGACTACGAACCTTTTCTTGAAGAATTCACCCAGAGCCTGTGGAGCCAAGCGTGGAAGCAAGCTAGCCAGCACTACTTGGGCGGGGGGCTGGAGGGCGGGGCGGACCTCTTCTCCCTTCGGCAGTCCCTCCGCACCTTAGACAAGATGACCTCCACAGCTGCTCCAGGCATCAGGGGTAATGTTATGGCCATGGCAACAGGATCAACCTGGCCGAGGTCTAGGCTTTGCGAGGCTGGCATTTTCGGCGAATCCGACTCCTTTTGTGTGCGATGTAATGCCAATCAGCCAGAGACTCCTTTTCATCGATCGTGGCAGTGCAGCGCAAATTCTCATCTGGACGTCTGCCGCGAGACGGCGGACCTCGAGCAAGAGGCCGCCGAGGGATATCAGCAGTTTCCTTGTTTTTGGCTTCGAGGTCTCATCCCTGCGGCGTGGACCGCTGTCGATCCCCCCCTCAGTGAGGCCCGCGCGTGGACCTGGCAAACCCAAACCGAGGCCATTGCCAACCTCGAGCCAGGGACCCAGTTTTGGGGGGCGGGTGACGGCTCTGGAGGAGCCCACACCAAAGACCCTCGCCTTCGTAGATGCGGATGGGCATTTACCCATCTTGCTGCGTGGTGTAAAGACCCTAGCTGGAACCAGATTGGGCCCATCAAAGGCCAAGCGGGGAACCTCCCAGGGCCCAAGCAGTCTAGCAACCGTGCCGAATTGCTGGCTCTCATTTGCTGGCTGGAGGATCTTCCCCTGGAGTTTAACCTACCGCCTGACGGCGAGTTACACTTTATTACTGACTCGGCCTGTGGCCCGTGGCGTGTCTCGGCCCGACGCCAGCAAACCCAGAACCAACAGGGATCTCTGGAAGAGATTTAGGAGTGCCCGAGGTGGGCACCGCGTTCTTTGCCATAAAGTCGAGAGCCACGTGGCCCAAGCCAGGCGTGCCGAAATGAATTTTCCTGAGCTTTGGATCCAGGCCAACAGTTTAGTTGATACCCATGCTGACGACGCGGCCACGAAGTTTCAGCTTCACCCCGACCAGGTCCAGAATGTCATAGACATTGAAGCTAAGGCCGCCAGAGTTCGTAGGCGTTTGTGCACCGTGCTCGAAGAAGTTATGCAGGCAGACAATGAAGCCAGGGCCCAGGTTGAGAGACTCCCGACCCTGGCCGAGCAGCAGCGAGCACCCCGCCCCAGCGTCCTGCAAAAAGCGGTGGCGACCAGTGCGCACACCCCATCCGTTGTCAAGCAGGGACGACAGGGGATCAAAGCCACGTGTTCTGTTTGTCTCGGTCGTGTGGGTGGCAGGGCCCGTGTTCTCAAATGGCTCTTGACCCCCTGTCACCCAGTTTGTATCCCAGACGGTGCTGCCCAACCCGCGGGGAGGGTCCCTGAGGCCCACCAGAGGCTACAAATCGGGGGCCGATCTCCACATCCGTCGCACAATGTTGTGGCCCATGGAGACATCCCTATTTTCTATTGCAGCAACTGTGGATATATGTGTGCACGCGAGGGCGGAGCCCTCAGGAACCTTGCCAGAGAGTGCCGTCCTGCCACTAAGGACGGCAGATACAACCTGGAGCTGATTGCTAAAGGTATCTGGCCAGGGAGCTCTGCAGGGGCTGCGGAATTCAATAGAAAGACAGGCCTTCGCCCCAAGGCGAAGGCAACGGCAAAGCGTCGATAAGACCTTGACGAGCAATGCTCAGCAATGCAATCCAAAAAAAGTCGTCGCCGCCACCGTCGTCGTCGTCGTCGCTGCCCGACGGCGCCGGCACCGAACATTCGACTGACACCGCTGAGGAGGAGCGGACGGAAGGGGAGGGGAGAGCGGGCAGGCGAAAGGAGGCGGTGGAGCAGGACGAGCAACCGTCACGGCACGATGGGCTCGGGACACGTCTCGAGAATTCCTGAGTTCCTAGCGGCCCTCGGGCCAGTCGTACTTGGCCATTCGCCTCGGACCGCGCGGGACACAAAAAGGAACCTGGAAACCTTGGGACGTATTACTGCCAAGGCTACTTGCTCCTCCGACGGACGGGAGAGGGAGCAGAAATGAGAGGGAGAGGAGAGGAAAGGGAAGGGCGGCAACCTGGAAATCTCGGGACGTATCGCTGCCAAGGCTACTTGCTCCTCTGATGGACAGGACGGGGAGCAGAAATGCGAGGGAAGGGGAGAGGAAAGCAAAGGAAGGGCGTCGGCCGAGAGCAAACCCGCGGCAAAAGGCGCCGCGCGCCCGTGGGGTCACAGCCCTGGAGCCTGGACCGCGAGGCCGTGGACATGGCCATGCTTCCATGCTTCCTCCCCCTTCTCCTCCTCCTCCTCCTCCTCCTCCTCCTCCTCCTCCTCCTCCTCCTCCTCCTCCTCCTCCCGCTCGAGTTTGGCTGACAGTTTTGGCCGGTGCCTTTTTTAACCTCCAAGCCGACTGCAAAACGGCACCGGCCCGCCGGTGCCTTTTTGAACGTCCAAGTCGGCTGCAAAAGGGCACCGGGCTCAGTTTTGTTTTTTCTCCTCCTGCCCTCCAGGTGCTAACAGCTTTGATGTGATGATCCAGACGGGGGCATCGCGCCCATCGGCCTGCCCCTCATGGGATATCGGCCAGGGCCAGTGCCCGCCGTGCGGGATCGTGCAGCACGCCGCAAGGCGCATAAGACAATCGTAGGTGGCTGGCCACCCCCTCAGAGTCCGAAGTGGCTGCCCGAGGCTTAGATGCGTAGCCGAGGCCGCAGGGAGACTCCGCGAGATTTGCTTGCTTGCTTCCTCCTCCTCCTCCTCCTCCTCCCCCTCCTCCTCCTCCTCCTCCTCCTCCTCCTCCTCCTCCTCCTCTTCCACTTCTTCTTCTTCTTCCTCCTCCTCCTCCTCCTCCTCCTCCGCATCCGCACCCACCTCCTCCTGCTCTTCCTCCTCCTCGTCCACTTGCTCCTGCTCTCCCTCCACAGTTACACAATATGAATACTACTCTCCTCCATCCCCTGATGGCGTGCGGAAGATAGCGGGCACCCCTCCGCGTACTGTTTTTTTACACACAGGATTTCCCGGAGTTGGGTTTTCGTTTGGGTTTTTTTGTCCAAAATGATGATCTCGCTGAGGCGCGGGCTTCATTTTCGGGCTTCCGCTCGTTCCGAACCGTGCTCCCGCTGCAACGCTGGCCTCATTTCCGTGTTTCCGCTCGTTCCGAATCGTGCTCCCGCTGCAGCGCTGGCCTCATTTCCGCGCTTCCGCTCGTTCCGAATCGTGCTCCCGCTGCAGCGCTGGCGTCATTTCCCGTGCCATGCCACGGCATGCAATGCAATGCTAGGTTCGTTCCGCTGCGCGATGCCATGCCTTCAGCTGCAGCTGTCGTATCCAGTGCTTAAGTGCCACGTCATGCTATGCCATGCTACGCTTTGATCTTCAACGCCATGCTATGCAATGTTATGTTCGGGGCCACTGTGCGATGCCATGCTTTGCGTTGCAAAGCTTTGTGATGCAATTCTTCACTACGCCACGCCACGCCATGCTGTGACGTACTACGCTTTGCGGTGCTCTTCTACGCCATGCCATGCCGTGCTCTAAAATGCATCGCGTACCCTTTTGGGACCATTGCCCTGCTCGACATCTGACTGTGCGAGTAGAGATGGTAAGGGATGGGAGGGAGGGGTAGGATGACAGTAAGACGCGAGCGCACCTAGCTTGTCCTCCTCCCCCTCTCCCTCCTCCTCCTCCTCCTCCTCCTCCTCCTCCTTCTCCTCCTCCTCCTCCCCCTCCCCCTCCTCCTTCCCCTCCTCCTTACTGATCCGTCCTGGTGCGATGGGAGCCAAACGGCGGGCCACGGCCGAGAGCCCGAGCACGGCAGGGAGGGGCGGCCGAGGCCGCTGCGCCGCGCCGAACGCGCGCGCGGGGGGGGGCGCCCGCGCGCAGCCCTCTAGGCCCGCCACGTGCGGTCCAGAGCGGGCGTGCTCGGGCCTGGGCGGCCCAGGCCGGAGGGCGGCAGCGGCGGGCCCGCATTGTGGGGGGACCGCAGCGGCGTCGGGGGCCCCAGGTGCAGGTGGTCCAGGGTCGGCGTCGCAGGCCCGACCTCGCGCGCGCGCGCGCTGGCGCGAGGCGGCGCGGGGCGCCGCGGCGCCGCGGCGCGTCGGCCGCGGCCCGGGGGATCTCCACGTCGGGACTCGGTGCCCTCCACACTCCGCTCTCGCCTGTCTCCGCTCTGCTCTCTGCTCGGTACGCTCTGCTCTCTCTCTCTCTCTCTTTCTCTCTGATTTGCGGCAATGTGAGCTCTGCTGTGTACTTGTTGTTTCTCTCTCTCTCTCTCTCTGCATGCTTGTAACTGTAACTGGTTCGTCGCATATGTATGTATATATATGTACAGGTATGATTCCCCACACATGTACAGCTATGAACATATATATGTATATATATAAACACGGGATTTATATTTCATATACATATATATATATGTACGTATACACATGTGTATGCATGTCGACACGTATAGGATATGTATATGTGTAGATGTTCGCATGTGTAGAACATGTGTGTGAATATGGATCGTTCGTTCGATATGTATGTATGTGCTTGTATATGAGTATATGGATCGGTCGATATCTATACATATGTATAGATATCGCTGTTTACACATGCTCCGATATATACGTATATGTACGATCTAACTATTTGCATGTATGCACGTATTCACGATTGTAAAACATACATGAATGTGTATAGATGTATACCCTGGGACCGGGCCGCCAACCGACGACGGCGGCGGATGTTCAACAAGTTCTTCAGCTTCAGCTTGAACCTCTTCAATACCATCGCCGACCAGGGAGTAGTCGCGGGGTCAGGACTTTTCGGTGGGCGCCCACATGTGAACCCTGCCAGAGCTGGAGCCAGTTGGGGCCCAGAATTCGAGACGCCAGCCGGGGCTCGGAGCTCGAAGAGGGACGCACGCGGCCGGGTGAAAGACAGCGGGGGTGTCCGATGCCCGCAGGGAAAGGGTTCGCACGCGGCCGCAGACTTGGGGGCGCCTTTACCCCCCAGGCTTCGTGCTCCACGCCGCGCTCCGCGCTGGGCGAGGTCGCCTTGCGCCCTTGCGCTTGCGCCGCCCCCCCCCGGAGAACACGACTTTTGGACACCATCCCCACAAACAAGCTGGTCCGGCATAAAACCGTGGGGAGGGGGCTGTGTGCAGAAGTTGCATCCCTTTGAGGGAACGATTTTCGCATACCCCTGCAAGCAAGCTGGTCTCGCACAAGGTACGCGAGCGGGGGCGGAGGCCATAAATCGACCCCCGACCTCCAAGGAAGAATGGCTCTACGGCCCAAGAGGCGAAGCACGAGCAGATGCGCCGCACGTGTTCGAACCCAAATGGCATGCACATGGGGGGAGAGCTGAATAGTCCAACTCCGCACCAGGAACGACGATGATTCAGAAAGATGGCTGTTCCCGTGCGGGGCTAACAATAAAATCTCCCGGCCAGCTGAAGGCAAAGACGCACTCCTCTTTTGTCGCACCGGGCCTCAGAATGCCTGAGCTTCACAAATCAAACTTCTTGTGTGTGCGCTGGGAGACACCATGAAGCCTCCTCCCCCAGCGACCTCTCTGGGCCTAAGGGCAAGTTCGCCCTGCCGCTGCCTCAGACACCCTCCGAAGGTCTCCCATGGCCTCCCGACGCCTCCAGGGCACCCCAGAAGCCTCGCCAGACCTCCCGACGACTCCCGACGCCATCGAGGACCCCACAGGGGGTTACAAGAGGAGAGGGGGGGGGCAGGGCTGCAGGGTGCCAGGTTCCGGCAACATCAGGAATCCGATGAGACTTGGAGCATCCGACATGACGCCCCCCCGGGCTTCTGCGACCAAGACTGCCACGAGACGACTCCACGAGGGCCTCCGCCCCCCCAACGCTGCGTTGCCCCCGACGCCTCCCCCCCCCAAGCAGCGACCATGGCAAGGCTCCGCGAGGACGGGGATGGTCCCAGGTTCGCGCACTCCGGGGTCGGCGCCGGCGGCCCCGGGCGGCTCATCCCGGACGAGGAGGACGCCGAACCTCAGGGCGAGGACGCGGCAACCCCCGCCGCCATCAACCCTCTCGCTGCCCCTGCTGCTGCTGCCGCGGCTGGACGCCGCCGCCGACGCCAGCGCCGTGGAAGAATCGCGGCAGGACAGGTTTTGGCCATCGTCGGCCTTCGGGGGGCCTCGCTGGCCCCCGGGGCCGTCCAGAGGCGGCTCGGGATGAGAAGCCAGCTTTAGGTCGGGCATGTCCTCCTACAGGGGGATTTTGGACGACAAAAAAACAACTTAAAAATACTCAAAAATCGTCCCCCGAGTATGTGTTGACTATGTCTGAAGATTCCTCCTGTAGAGGGACGTGCCCAGCTTAAAACCAGCTCTGGGGAAGGGGTCGGGGCGTTCAGGGGCCCCGCATGGAAGAAACCAGGACGTCGGATACCTGGGGCCGTTATCTGCCAACACTAGCGCAGCGGATGACGACGACGCTAAGGGCGGTGATGCTCTTCCTCGTCGAAACATGGACACCCTCGTCGTCACCGTCGTCAACAGCATCGGCGCCGCCATTGGCCTTGCCGTCGTCATCGTCAACACCGCCGCCACCATCGCTACTGTCATCTTCGTTGCCCCCGTTGTCGACGTCATCATGACGACTCGCCCGCCCGAGCGGCCGACCTGCACTGAAGTGCCCGCGCGCCAAGTGCGAACTCTGAGAGACGCGCCGGGGAGCTCCCACCGAAAAGCACTATCGCGGCCGCATCGGTTGTGCCAAGCCAGCCGACCGCTCTGGGAGCAGATGCTGCCGCCTCCCCCGCCCCCGATCCCGCGCACTGCTGGTGATGCTCGCGAGGCCACAGCCATCTGCTTGCTGCGCTGCGCTGCCTGAGCCCTGCGCCCGCGCCTCCTCCGCGGCAGACAGTGCCAACGAGGGTCCGCCGCCAACACAGCGAGGGCGTCCACGGAGGAGGCAGAGGGACAGAGAGAAAATGAGAGAGAGAGAGAGAAAGAGAGAGAGAGAGAGAGAACAAAAAAGCACGAAGTGTCCGCCGATCTCCGGTCGGCAAGGAGGAGACCTCTTCTCCCTCCCCGTGTCCCCATAAACAAAAACATTTGATGGGAGGGGGGGTGGGGGGGCCTCAGCACATCCAAGGTGGTGTCCTCAGTGGCTCCGAGATGGCCCCAGATAGACCAAGATGGCCTCCAGGATGGCACACGGTAGCCTCAGATGGCTCGGGATGGCTTCCAAGCTGCGTCCGAGAGGCCCCTTGACGGCCCCGCGCGGCCACCAGGCCTCTTTCAGACATCCCAGGGAAGCATTTCGGTTTTGATTCCGCAAATGATATACACCTTCTCGCCCGCTTGCTTCCGATGGGATTCTGAGGCATCAAGATGGTCCAGGGATCGCCCAAGCGTGACCCAAGAGAAGGCCAGAAACGCTCCAGGACGACCCCGAAGGCCCCCAAGAGCGTCACAGGAGCGCCCCAGCCCAAGGGCGAACCTTCTGACTCGAAAACTGGGCTCAAACCGAAAATGCTCAATAGACAAAAAATCCTGAAAACAATTCCCCAGACAACCCCTTTGGACAACCCAGACAACCCATCGTGCTGAATGGGGCCCAGCGGGGATCCAGACAACCCCCGTGGACAACCCCCCTTGAACAAGCCTCTCCGAAAGTCCCCCACGGCTCCGAGGAAGCCACCAAAAGAGCCCCAAGAGGCCTCAGAGGCCCCCGGCCGCGTCCGGAAAAAAACCTCCGAGATGGCTCCAAGAAGCCTCCAAGAGGCTCCCAGAGGCCTTTACGCTGAGCCTTGTTGGCCATCTTACGCGCTTGATAAGTTTCCTTCTCCAGACTGTTTGCCTGGGCATCGTTTCTGAATGGGCTGCTGGGGATACAGGAAATGTCAAGACTAGTTTTCGCCCGTCCCCGTGTCAGGGCTGGCGGAATAGCGGAAGCCCTCTTGACTCAAGCCTCTTGCGAGAGAGAAACAAGCGATGAGAGATGATGTATGAGAGATGAGAGATGACACACAGATAAAGAGAGAGAGAGAGAAGACAAGACAAGACAAGACAGGACAGGACAAGACAAGACAAGACAAGACAAGACAAGACAAGACAAGACAAGACAAGACAAGACAAGACAAGACAAGACAAGACACGACACGACAAGACAAGACAAGACAAGACAAGACAAGACAAGACAAGGCAAGACAATACAAGGCAAGATAAGAGAAGAGAAGACATGACAAGGTAAGGCAAGAGAAGAGAAGACAAGAGAAGAGAAACTATCACAAATATGTTCTGACACGAGAATAAACTAAATGAAACAGGCAAGCGAGCATACAAGCTAACCAAACGCCGCCGCCGCCGCTGAGGGCGACGCCTGGACGCGCGAGCGCGCGCGGCGGCGGCGGCGCCCCCGGGTGCAGGAGGTCGGGCGCGGGGGGAGGCGGCCCGAGCCGAGCGGGCGACCGCGCTGGCGAAGGGGCCTCGTGCGCGGACGCGGGCAGGGGGGCCCTGCCTTGCCATCACCTGCCTCCCCTTCGCGCGGGTCGCGGGGAGATGCACCACCGACGCCATTGCCCTCCTCTTCCCCTCCTCCACCCCTCCTCCACCCCTCCTCTTCCCCTCCTCCTCCCTTCCCCTTCCCCATGCCCCTCCTCCTTCCTGGGGGGGGGGAGGCGGTGGTGATAGTGTATAGACCTTTGGGTCCCGCATCATCCTCCTCATCACCACCGTCGTCACCATCACCATGGCATCCTGGTCCGCCCCGTGAGGACGATCCAGGCACAGACCAGCTAGCCGTATAGATCACCACAAACCACTGCCGATCAAAATATCAACATCAAGTCCCCCATTATCGTCAACATAGCCATCGTCATCGTCGTCATCGTCACCACCACCATCATGATCTTCATCCTCGTCCTCGTCCTTGTGGATGTCACCGTCATCCTCGTAACCGCGACGACAAGGCGCCTGTCGTAGTCCTCCACCTGCTTCGACGCCTGCGAAGCATTCTCGACAAATGCAGGGCTGCAGTGCGAGCAATGGCACCAGGTGAAGTCCGAACTGTGCCTGCGCCATCCTTTGCCGCGGAGGGAGGCCGTGTTTGCACACCCAGGCAGGATGGTAAGCAGCGAATCCAATAAGACCCCTTTTCTTTAAGATATCTATATATATATATATACATACATACATACATACATACATACATATCGGAGAGTGGGGGGTGAGATCGCAGTGGAACGGAGACCCCCAACCAGGAAATCCTTTCGTTTCGTTCGTGTCATGCGTGCGGGCGAGGCGAAGCTGTGGGCGCGCGGGAGGAAAGAACCCGCCGTTGCTAGGGCAAAATCAAGACAAATAATTTTCCCCCCCCCGCCCGTCCGGCGGTGGCCCGCGGAGTCCCGCGGTGTCCCGAGGTGTCCTGTGGTGTCCCGTGGTGTCCGCCGCTGCTAGGGCGAAGTCAAGACAAATGATTCTCTCCCGCCCGCCCGTGCGGCGGAGGCCCGCGGTGTCCCGCGGTGTCCCGTGGTGTCCTGTGGTTTCCCGTGGCGTCCGCCGTTGCTAGGGCGAAGTCAACACAAATGATTCTCCCCCGCCCGCTCGTCCGGCGGTGGCCCGCGGTGTGCCGCGGTGTCCCGTGGTGTCCCGCGCTGTCCCGTGGTGTCCGCCGTTGCTAGGGCGAAGTCAAGAAAATGATTATCCCCCGCCCGCCCGTCCGTCCGTCCGTCCGGCGTTGGCTCGCGAAACCCCGCGGTGTCCCGTGGTGTCCCGTGGTGTCCCGTTGAGTGAGATCGATAGTGAGATCGATAATGAGATCGATAGTGAGATTGATACTAAGATCGATACTGAGATCGATACTGAGTTCGATGTGGTGCCCCGAGGTGTCCCGTGGTGTCACGACAGGTGTCCCATGGTGTCCCGTGGTGTCCCGTTGAGTGAGATCGATAGTGAGAACGATACTGAGATCGATACTGAGATCGATGTGGTGCCCCGAGGTATCCCGTGGTGTCCCAAAAAGTGAAATGGATAATGCGATCGATAGTGAAATCGACAGGTGTCCCGTAGTGTCCCGTGGTGTCCCGTTGAGTGAGATCGATAGTGAGATCGATAGTGAGATCGATGTGGTGTCCCGAGGTGTCCCGTGGTGTCCCGTGGTGTCCTATGGTGTCCCGTTGAGTGAGATCGATAATGAGATCGATAGTGAGACCGATAGTGAGATCGAGAGGTGTCCCGCGGTGTCCCGTGGTGTGCCGTGGTGGCCCGTGGTGTCCCGTGGTGTCCCGTTGAGTAAGATCGATAGTGAGATCGATAGTGAGATCGACAGGTGTCCCGTGGTGTCCCGTGGTGTCCCGTTGTGTCCCATGGTGTCCCGTTGAGTGAGATCGATAGTGAGATCGATTAAGTCAGATGTTGGTTCCCCCCCTCTACACCCCCCCGCAACCTCCTTATCACCCGAAGGGTGGTCGTATAGGTATATATACATATTTAACTCCGCCTGCCGCACCACCAGACGTGTTCGTAGGTCGTGCCGGGCATTTCGCGTGAGACTCCCTTACGTACAACATGTGACAATGGATCTGTTTTATTCCCTACCTAGGCTCTGCCTAGAAGGGTTCTTACTTTCTTCGCTTTAAAGGGGCTGGGCAGTGCAAATCGCCCCGGGCGGTTCCCCCGGTCCCCTGGGACCCAAGCAAAAGCAACATCAACGGTAAAAGCAAACGCGCGGTTCCCCCAGTTGCGCCCCCTGGGTGCCAAGCAAAAGCAACAGCAAAGGCAAAAGTGAAGGCAAAAGCGAAGGCAAGGCACAAGCATAGCATAGCATAGCATAGCATAGCATAGCATAGCATAGCGCAGCAAAGCATAGCGCAGCATAGCATAGCATAGCATAGCCTGGCCTAGCCTATCCTAGCCCAGCATAGCATTGCGCAGCATCGCATAGCATAGCATAGCATAGCAGAGCAGAGAACAGCATAGCATAGCATAGCATAGCGCAGCACGGCATCCACGAGTGCGTGGAGGACGGTGGTGCCGAAGAGAAGTTCATCAAAATGCCCGAGTTTGCCCTCGCAAACGATCTCTGGCTTGGTCGGGAGCGCACGGCCCTTCAGATCGCATCCATGGGTCTACGGATGTTGCTGGGCCTTGGAAGAGCATGTTTCCGCAAACTCTTGTTGGGCAAGGGCCAAAAAGAGACGCTGCAGTCAGGATTCACTGGCAACCACATCCTGATCTCGCAAGCTTCGGCCACACTCGCGGAGGCACTACCACCGTCCTCCACGCACTTGAAGGACAGTTTACCGCTCCTACTAATGTTGCTTTCCTAGAGGCTCCAACTCCTAGGTAGGGTCGCACTGGGATAATTAATTGTGTTGCCGATCGGCGCGGGCCCTCGCACCCTCCCCCTTCCCCCCGCTCTGGAGTGGATCTTGCCTGTTTTGGGCGCCTGTTTCGAGCAGGCGGAGTCCCGCCCCCATAGGACGCACTGCTGCAAACGGCTGCACAAAGCAGAGGTCCGGAGCCAGACCCACCCTCTCCCCCCCTCTTCCGCCAAGTGTCGAAACGCCGATTACACGATAAAATGAGACGATGCTTCCAACGTGGCATTGGCCCACGAAGAGTTCAGCTGACCTCGGCCTGGCCTCGTCGCTTTGGCCTTTGAAGCTAAAATCCCTTGCCCACTCTTCCGTCAATTGCCGAAACGCCGAATCAGAAAACGCTCACCAATGGAGCTAAGAAGAAATCCAACACCTACAAGGATGGAATGCCAGTCGTCGCCGCGACACGCTCCTGTTTCTGCACGGTTTCCCCCAGGGCAGTAGGCGACCCGAGGACGAGAAGGGGACACCTAAGCCCTTCGGAGAAACCCTCCACCTGTTTCAAAATGTCCAGCAGGTGCACGGACCGAGGGCCAGTGACATCAAAATGCGGCTCTCGCATGTGCGCTGGCCACATTCGTTTTGTGAGCTTCCAGCCGTTCCGATGGAGGCTGCCACGTTTTCAAAAAGCAGCTCCCGCTTGACAGTCACATTCTGCGACCCGAAGTGTGCAACGGCTTCACGGATGGAGGGCGGCTCCGCTTCGACATGAGACTCTCACTTCAGACTTCCGCAAGATCTACGACAAGAACTTTGAAAGCGTGAGCCTTTCCATGGATGAAGGGCAGATAGATTTCAATATATGGCGAACGCAAGATTCATCAGTTCAATGTATAATCATGCCTTGTTGCGTTTCTTTCAGGTAACTAGAGTGAAAAATGTGGATATATGACAAAAATGGGCGCTTGTCACAGTGGGCAGGAATACTTGCAAGGACTTATGAGGAAGGAAACTGGGACGGGAGGGTGTATTACAGCATTGCTGATGCATCCTGGGATCCTGGGTTTAATGTGGTCCTCATCATCCTCCTTGACCTCCTCGTTCTCCTTCTTCTCCTCCTCCTCCTCCTCATCATCATCACCATCACCATCACCATCACCATCACCATCACCACCACCACCACCACCACCACCACATCATCATCATCATCATCATCATCATCATCATCATCATCATCATCATCATCATCATCATCATCATCATCATCATCATCATCATCATCGTCATCGTCATCATCATCATCATTATCATCATCAGCATCATCATCGTCATCATGTTCCCCCTCTCCCTCCCTGCTCCTCTTCATCCTCCTCTTCCTCGCGGATCGAAGATCGATGTTTTAGGGGACGTCTTCGGCCTTTCTGTGTTCCCCGAACGCCTCTGGAAGCCTCCCGGGGCTCAAGGCTCCTTCAAATTCCCTCCATTCCTCTCCCGCCTCCTTCCCCGCGTTCCCGCTTCTCTGCCCCCCCTGGGGATGCAGAGAGAGGGGCGGGTGGAGGAGGAGAAGGAAGAGGGAGAACAGAAGGAGTAGGAGGAGGAGGAGGAGGAGGAGGAGGAGGAGGATCACTGACCAAACTGCCAGGTCTGCTCAGGTCGCACCCCAGCTCGCAGCCTGTTAGTAGGGGTCGCTAGCGAGGGCTCGCCCTGGCTAGTAGCCCCCGCAAGGACGAATTGGCTGCCCAGGTTAGGGGTAGCACGCGGGGAGGGCTGCCAATGCATGCCATCGCATGCCAACGCATGCCAACGCATGCCAATGCATGCCAATGCATGCCAACACATACCAATGCATGCCAACAAATACCAATGCAGGCCAACGTATGTCAGCGCATGCCAAGTCATGTCAATGCATGCCAACTCATGCCACTGCATGCCAACGTATGCCTGTGCATGCCAACGCATGCCAACGCATGCCAGCGCACGCCAACGCATGCCAACGCATGCCAATGCATGCCAACGCATGCCAATGTATGCCATCGCATGCCAACGCATGCCAACGCATGCCAATGCATGCCAATGCATGCCAACGCATGCCAACGCATGCCAACGCATGCCAATGCATGCCAATGCATGCCAATGCACGCCAACGCATGCCAACGCATGCCAACGCGTACTAACGCAGGAGGAGGAGAAGGAGGATGAGGAGGAGGGAGAGAAGAAGGAGGAGGGAGAAAAGAAGGAGGAGAAGGAGGGGGAGGAGAACGAAAAAGGAGAAGAGGAGGAGTAGGAAGAGGAAGGCGTGGATTGGAGAAAGCCACCCGTGCACCAGACCAGCTCGATGCACGCTGGCCGCGAGCGCCCGCACGCGCAGCGGTGCGCACCGGACCGGATCTGGTCCACGGCTGCCGCCTTCCAGAACAGGCAGCTTCTGCGGCAGCCCATAGGAGCCTGCCATACCACCTTGTTGGCGCTTGCGAATCGGCGCTCATCGACACTGAGACACTGATCGGCGCCAAACCGACGCTATAATCGACACCAAATCGACGCCAAATCGACGCCGAGTCGGCGCCAGTCGGCACCAGATCGGCACTATATCTCATCGACGAGAAAGAACGGGGACCATGGCCAAGATCGGCATCGACAAGACCTCGCGACATCTCGGTCACGGTCCCCGTGTTTCTTCCCTCGAATACGGGGACCCCCAAGAATACAAATATGACGATGTAAGTTTACAACGCTCGGGCCTCTGTGGCGGGCCCCAATGCAATGAACCCCTTCTTGCACCACTCGCGGGGCGCCCCGAACGGCCCACGGCATGGCCCCCGCGCATAGAGTGGCGCGCCGCTGGTTTCGAAAAGCCCGCGCCGAAGTGGGGGGATCCAGAATGGAATCTGCCATCTGCTTCGCGAGAGTTGGCGTTGTACAGTTGCAAAACAGATCATGGACAGAAGCCCCGACCCTTGCCCCAGGGCCGACTTCAGGGCGCCCTGGGGCCGAGGAAGGACAAAAATGACGAGCGAACAGCACACACACACACACACACACACACACACACACACGCACGCACGCACGCACGCACGCACGCACGCACGCACGCACGCACACACACACACACACACACACACACACACACACACACACACACACACACACACACACACACACACACACACACACACACACACGCACACACACACACAAACACACACACACACACACACGCACCCACAAGAGGGGGAGGGAGGGGCTCTGGGCGCGCGTTGTCGGATGGAGGGCCCCCGCTCGAACGGGAGCCTCCCTTGCGGTCCGACCACCGCACCCATGCCCATAGCCAGTTCTGCTCCATCCGACCCATCTGCTATGGGTACGGGTGTGTGTGTGTGTGTTGTTCGCTCGCCAAAAAAAGCCTCCCGACGTGATCTTGTTCACGACGCAAGCCTCCCGTCGATCTCTCTGGAGGAGGAGGAGGAGGAGGAGGTGGAGGAGGGGCAGGGGGAGGGGGAGGGGGAGGGGGAGGAGGACAAGCTAGGTGCGCTCGCGTCATATCTGACATCCTACCCCTCCCTCCCATCCCTTACCATGGCGCAGACCCCCTCTCTACTCGCACAGTCGGATGTCAAGCAGGGCAATGATCCCGAAAGGGTACGCGAGGCATTGTAGAGCATGGCGTAGAAGAGCACCGCGAAGCGTAGTATCAACCTAATTAGCATTGCATTGCATGCCGTGGCATGGCACGGGAAATGACGCCAGCGCTGCAGCGGGAGCACGAGTCGAAACGAGCGGAAGCGCGGAAATGAGGCCAACGCTGCAGCGGGAGCACGATTCGGAAGCACGCCGGAATCGGCCCGGGAGGCTTCCCGGGCGCCAGAAGCAGAAATTCAGCATTTTCAAAAGAAATGTGTGTATTGGAATGGATTTTTTTCGGCGCCGCCTCGGAACTCGATTTTCCGGCGCCGGCCGGAACCGGCTCCGGACCCGGCCCGGGCGCCGGCGCGGGCGCCGGCTCGGGCGTGCAGCCGGCGTCCGGGCTAGCCCGGACGCCGGCTCAGGCGCCGGCCCGGGCGTCGGAACGGGAGGCTTCCCGGGCGCCGGAAGCAGAAATTCACCATTCTCAAAAGAAAAATGTGTAATAGAATGGTTTTTTTTCGGCGCCGCCTCGGAACTCGATTTTCCGGCGCTGGCCGGAGCCAGCTCCGGACCTGGCTCGAGCGCCGGCCCGGGCGCCGGCTCGGGCGTGCAGCCCGGGCGCCGGCGGAAATGATGCCAGCGCTGCAGCGGGAGCACGATTCGGAACGAGCGGGGCCCGAAAATGAGGCTGGCGCCTCCGCGAGAGCAGCATTTTGGAAACAAATGCAGGCGAAAACCCAACTCTGGGGAAACCTGTGCGAAAAAAACAGTACGCGGGGAAGGGTCGGATACTCCCGAGCCGTCATCAGGGGAAGAGCGAGAGTAGTATTCATATTGAGTAATTGTGGAGGAGGAGGAGGAGGAGGAGGAGGAGGAGGAGGAGGAGGAGGAGGTAGAGGAGGTAGAGGGGCGAGGAGGAGGAGGAGGGAGGAGGAGGAGGAGGAGGAGAGGAGGAGGATAGGCGGAGGAGGAGACGACGAAAAGAGGAGGGAGGAGGAGGAGAGGAGGAGGAGGAGGAGGAGGAGGAGAGGAGGAGGAGGGAGGAGGAGGAGGAGGAGGAGGGAGGGAGGAGGAGGAGGAGGAGGAGAAGGAGGAGGAGGAGGAGGAGGAAGAGAGGAGGGCAGGGGGAGGAGGGGGAGGGAGGAGGAGGGAGGAGGAGGAGGAGGAGGAGGAGGAGGAGAAGGAGGAGGAGGAGGAGGAAAAGGAGGAGGGGAAGGAAGTGGAGGAGGGGATGAGGAGGAGGAGGGGGAGGGAGGAGGAAGAGGGAAGGGAGGAGGAGGGAAGAGGGAGATGGAGGGAGGAGAGGAGGGGGAGGAGGAGGAACGGGAAGAGGAGGAGACAGAGGACGACGAGGAGGAGGAGAGTAGAAAAGAGGAGGAGGAGGACAATGAAAAGAAGGAGAGGAGGAGGAAAAGGGAGGAAGTGGGGCGAGGAGGAGGATGAGGAGGAGGGACAAGAGGGAGGAGGAAGAGGAGGAGGAGGAGGAGGAGGAGGAGGAGGAGGAGGAGGAAGAAGAGGAGGAGGAGGAGGAGGAGGAGGGGGAAGGGGGAGGGAGAGGGAGGAGGAAGAGGAGGAGGAAGAGGAGGAGGAGGGGAAGGAGGAGGGAGAAGAGGGGGAGGCGGGAGGAGAAGGAGGAGGAGGAGGAAAGTTGCGAGCACGTCTGAGAAGGCACCAGCGGAGGGCCGGGCGCCTCCGAGTGCAGGTGGTCCAACGCAGGGAGCGGCGGCCCCGGGCGCGCGAGGCTGCGGGTGGGCGGCGGGGGCCCAGGGTGCGTGGGCTCCGTGACCTGGCGGGCGATGGTAGGCAAGCGCGTTCCACTACTCGCAAACTCACTACTCACAAATGGCCTGGATCGGTCGCGAAGGATTTGCGATAAGTTACATCGAGGCGAACGATTGTTTTTCGGACGTTTGCGACTAGGCACTTTGCGAGTAGTGGAACGCGCTTTGTGAGATGGGGCGCACCGATCCCACCCAGACCCCCTCGTGGTCATGGGGAAGTCGTGCCGGGAGGTGTTTCTGGCCGTTTTCAGCCTCCGGGGGCCCTCGCCGGGCCTCGCGGCCGTCAAAAAAACGACTTGGGATGAAAAACTGGTCCCTGGATAGGAGTCGAAATATCTGGGGGTATACGTTGTGAAGAAGTCACGACGCCGGGGGTCTGGGCAGGCACCTGCCATTTTGGAAGAATTGTGAGGGAAATCCAGGACCGCTTTCAGCGATCGAGGGGCCCGAGTGGGCCCAGGTCACTCCGGCGAAGGGACGTTCTTACGTGGAGTCGATCATCCAGTCCCGCCCAGCCTCGCGCCCCTCGCGACCCGCGATGGGCAAGGCGAAGCGATCTTCGAGGAGGCGCAAGACTGGAGTCTGGAGGCATCGCATGGGCACCGTGACGCTCTGCGCAGGGCACCCGCGCAGAGCCGCCTCGCATCCATATAGCGCCGCGGCCGACCAGACCACGAGGCCATGGATACAGTAGGAGCTCGACCACAAGAACACTTTCGCAAGAAACCCAACCCTGAGACCCCAGGACGTCCATTGATGTTTGGCGTGGGAACGTCGCGCTTTCCATGGCAAAGCAATCGAACCCAAGAAACCCAGGGTACCCTGGAGGCAAGCAGGGTGTTTCTTGGCATGGGTCTCCACTGTACAAGTGAGCGACGATCAAAAACGGGTCTTCTGCGAGATGGCATAGCGACCTTACGCGGCGGCTTACGCGGGCCACCAGCGCGGCACGCTGCGTGAGGAACGAGGGCGCTTACACGCGACCTTGCGCGGGCAGCTTACGCGCCAACGTCGGCGCAGACGACCCCGTTTTTCTCTGACGCTCACCTGTCGGCCAACTCAAACGCCAGGGGGCACCCAAAGAGGGTGTAGGGTGGGCCCAGGGTCGCGGGGACATTCCCCCCCTTCCCCATTCCCGTCCCCCCACCTGGGCAGGCCTGGGACGAAGGTAAGTCGTGCCAGAGCGTTGCGGAACGCTCCTGAGGCACCCCCGAAAGCTCTGGAACGGCCCCGGCGCCCGATGCATTCTCCAGAGAGCCTCCAGCTCAAACAGATTCGAAGAAATGCATCTCATCCCGAGGTTGTCTTGTGCCTGCCTTGTCGCGGACGCACTGCCCCGGGTCAATGCAGCCCTGGGTCACTCGGGCTCTGCTGGATCTTGCGCGCTGGCCTGGGTCAGTGCAGCCCTGGCTCTGCGGGATCCTGCAAGATCCGGCGCTCTGGCCGACCCCCGTTTGCGTTGCCTCGGCCCCGTGGTCCAGAGCGCCCGACCCTGGCCCCAGTGCACGGCTCCGCGCGGCAGGCGGGCTCCCGCTGATCCCGGGGCCCGACGCGGGGCGTGAGAAAGGCAGCCTGTCACCATCCGATGTGCGCCTCAAGAGCGGCGAACATACCCGCACGGCCAAAACTGACAGTAGGGATGCACGGTAAGGATGCAGGCCCCTTGGACGCCCGTGTTGACGCTTTTTCGAGGGCGGCGGGCCATCGAGAGTGGCTTCAGGATGGACCGAAGGGGCAAGGATGCAAGCGTGCCCTCGGGAAGGTTGCCCATCCTTGCCATCGGTTCCGACCGTAGGCAAGATGACATAGGAGCCTTACGCCGCGGCTCACGCTGCAGCTGCCAGAAGGCGAGCGAGAGCCCCAGCAGGGCTCTCCGAGGCCGAGGCGCCGAACACAACAGACTTGGACAAGGCCATGATCGGCGGCGCGCCGAGGGGGGAAATGAGACGGAGAAGGCCTGATCAGAAGGCGGCGGGGCTTCTCAGAACCCCCCATCCAGCTTTCTGAGCGTCTCCTGCGTCTCCGGAGAAGGCTTCAGAACACTTAGCAGAGGGCCGAAGGTATTCCGAGCCTTCTGAGAAGACCCGCGCCTTCTCGCCTCCCGGTCGTAGTCTGGGGCGCGTTCCCGCGGCTGCGCGGTCGGCCAAATATGCGTCCCGCGCGGGGCATCCGCGAAAAAGCGTCCCGCAGCCGCCGGCAGGGGCCAGGCCCGCGGGGCAAGGTGCAGGCCTGGGCCGCCAGGAAGCCTCCGCAGGAGCCCAGTTTTTCAGCTCCGCGCGCGGCCACCGACGAGCGAACTGCACACATCCACACAGTCAGACTTGATTGGACAGGACACGCGAGAGGACACAAGACCCTTCCGAGTGCCACATTGCCATAGGAATGTAGGAGGCATGGGTCGCGAGACACAGGACACGAGGGCACCCTTGCTTTGGCAGGATCGACCTACTAATCAGTGCCGACTGTGCCCACAGGGGGGACGGAGGGGACCCTGGGTGCGTGTTGTCGGATGGGCGTCCCCGCTCGAACGGGAGCCTCCCCCGGGGTCCGACAACCCGCACCCTTACCCATGGCCGCTCCTCCTCTTTCTGGCCCCCCTATGGGTATGGGCGTGCGTCGGTCGTTCGGCAGTCGCGATCTGATACAGTCGGGCTGCTGAAACAAGGAACGCCACTCGAGGAACGAGGCCCCATTTGTGGCGCCACCGGCGCCTGCGTGCACGAGGAGGGCTCCAGGAACGGCCATGGAAGGACCTGGGGATCGGCGAGCCCCTCCGAACCCAGAGCGGTCCTCATGAGAGCCTCTTGGCTGTGTGCGACGCTGCGGACGGCGCGGGCGCGGCCGCAGGAGGCCCTTCACGGAAGCCCGGTCCTGGAGTTCCGCGCGCGCGCGGGGCGCAGGCGCAGGTCGGGCGGGGGCCAAGGGCACACCCCAGGACGTCACTGCGCAGCGCGCGCAGCGAAGGAACCCAAGGTACCCCGACGAAAATCGGGGAGACATGCAGTCAAACTGCTGCCATAAGGAGCGCCCGGCTGGGAACGAGACTAGGTTCACGAGGAGGGCCAGAGGAACAGCCACGGAATAACCCAAGGAGCAGCAAGCCCCTTCCGAACAAAAAGCGGTCTTTATTTCAGCGTCTTGACTGTAAGACTCGGGTTTGGGGGACTCGGGTTGGCCTGACGGGACCGTCTGAAATTGGACGCAGACTCCCGCTGCGAACGTCGCACGAAAACTGGACCGACAAAACACAGGACGGGCCCGTCGAAAGGCGTCGGCAAACCCGAGTTCTGGCGAACTGGAGTCTTACGTTCCCCCTAGAAGACAGAGAACGAAAAACTGCATGAACATACACTTCTGACGGTCCGCGCGAATCTCCTGGATGTGCGCTGGACCGGCGCCAGAGGCGCCGCCAGGGGGCTCCAGCACAGATCCCAGGAATCAGCGCGGACTTTCGAAAGTGAAAGCTTATGCCTATTTCCATCCTCGAGATAAGCATATGGTTTCTCGATGCGCGTCCCTAAAGGCCTCCTGGATGGGGTCAGAGTGGGTGGGGTCGGAGGATCGCGCCGCATCGCTGATGCATCGGCGCCGTCGGCTCGGAGAGAATCAGGCTCCACATCGAGCCGCATCGGCGATGCAGAACGATCCTTCGACCCGATCTAACCGCGGACCATATTGGGGAGTCCTAGAACCCCCGCTGTACTCAGCGCGTCCCAACTGCAATGAAAGCAACGATAGGGGGACCAGCGCAGGAAAAAAAACATCGACCTGGAATCGGTGATCCATATCGCCAACAGCTCGGCAAAACGCCCCCCCGATCGCGAATCCGCACTGTCCTGGACGGGGTTGGCCATCAGGCCCCCATGGGCGATGAATTGGCGACTGGGGGTCAATGCATCCCCCCTGAGCCTATCCCCCCTACAGTCGGACCTAGGTCAGAAGAACATCCCTCAAGAGCATGAGACCCTCCGTCGGCCAAGGCAAACAGAAGATCTAAGGGTACCCTCCCCAGGATGGACAAGAACACTCATCCAACAAACACGAAGAGCACCAGGGTACCCTCCCCGAACCGACCTCGATCTTAGATCTCGGTCCAACTGCATCGCTGCCCCTGATTGATGCGCGTTCCCAATGCCCCGCACGGGCTGAGCCCCAATGGGCCACGCCCCCTCCTCCCGAAGCGCCGGCCCGCCACACCGACCGGCAGAGGGGACACTGGGCCGGAGCGCGCCGGGCCCGGCGGCGGCGCCGTCGGCCCCGGGCGAAGGGAAGACCTGCCGCTGCACGCTGGGGGGATCGGTCAGCATCGGATCGGGAAAGACGGACCGAATCGGAACGCGTATCGGATGGGACCGCATCAGCTGGGGGTCGGACTCGAGTTGGATCGGCGGCGCCAGGATGCGTGGCAGCGCCTTGCAAGCATCGGGCCGGTTCGGATCGCCCGAGAATCGGAATCGCTGGGCGTCGCTTGAAGGGGGGCGATAAACGTGGACGGAAGAAAAAAATTAGCCTGGCTGAGGACCCAACCATATGCAGTTGTGGGTATCGCATTCGGGGAAGCCCCGTATGGGGCCACGAAACGCTGTACTGGATGTGGGGAGGACGCATGCGAACTGCGCCACTGGGACCTTCGGTGGAGCTCCCTATGGGGCCACGAAGCGCTGCCCTGGGTGGGGGGGGGACGCATGCGAACTGCGCAACTGGGACCTTCGGGGGAGCTACCTATGGGGCCACGAAACGCTGCCCTGGGTGGGGGGGGGGCGCATGCGAACTGCGCCACTGGGGCCTTCGGTGGAGCTCCCTATGGGGCCACGAAACGCTGGTGGGGGAACGCATGCGGGCTGTGCCACTGGACCTTCGGTGGAGCTCCCTATGGGGCCACGAAACGCTGCCCTGGGTGGGGGAACCGCATGCGAACACCCCCACTGGGGCCTTCGGTGGAGCTCCCTATGGGGCCACGAAACGCTGCCCTGGGGGGGGGAACCGCATGCGAACACCCCCACTGGGGCCTTCGGTGGAGCTCCCTATGGGGCCACGAAACGCTGCCCTGGGTGGGGGAACCGCATGCGAACACCCCCACTGGGGCCTTCGGTGGAGCTCCCTATGGGGCCACGAAACGCTGCCCTGGGTGGGGGAACCGCATGCGAACACCCCCACTGGGGCCTTCGGTGGAGCTCCCTATGGGGCTACGAAACGCTGCCCTGGGTGGGGGAACCGCATGCGGGCTGTGCCACTGGGACCTTCGGTGGAGCTCCCTATGGGGCTACGAAGCGCTGCCCTGGGTGGGGGAACCGCATGCGAACTGTGCCACTGGGACCTTCGGTGGAGCTCCCTATGGGGCCACGAAACGCTGCCATGGGTGGGGGAACCGCATGCGGCACCCCCACTGGGGCCTTCGGTGGAGCTCCCTATGGGGCTACGAAACGCTGCCCTGGGTGGAGGAACCGCATGCGGGCTGTGCCACTGGGACCTTCGGTGGAGCTCCCTATGGGGCTACGAAACGTGTGAGGGGTGTGCCGAGAGCAGAGGCAAGGAGGGGGAGGAGGGAGGTGGGCGAGGAGGGGGAGGAGGAGAGGAGGTGGGACGCGGGGCGCTGTCTTTTCAAAACGAGGACCCAACACCACAGGATGGTTGGGAAATATACACTTTTCGGGACCGAAGGGCGCCTTTGGGTGGCCTCAAGGGCCCCTTGTCTGCAACTGTCGCTGCCCACCCATCCATCGCCCCCCCAATACGCGACGCCAAAAATCGCATTGGCTCGGGCCGGCCGGAGCCGACATCGAACCGGGTCGATCGGATCGGAATGGGCCCTGCGCTGGAGGGACTGGAGGCGAGAGGGAGGGGCACAGCTGACCGACGGAAAGAAATGGGCCCTACGCAAGATAACATACAATCGAAACTGATCGTGGAGATGCGTGGCCCCGGCCCTCACGCGGACCTCCGACGTGAAGAGAGCGCCTCGGCCCCGTGGTCCAGAGCGCCCGACCCTGGCCCCAGTGCACGGCTCCGCGCGGCAGGCGGGCTCCCGCTGATCCCGGGGCCCGACGCGGGGCGTGAGAAAGGCAGCCTGTCACCATCCGATGTGCGCCTCAAGAGCGGCGAACATACCCGCACGGCCAAAACTGACAGTAGGGATGCACGGTAAGGATGCAGGCCCCTTGGACGCCCGTGTTGACGCTTTTTCGAGGGCGGCGGGCCATCGAGAGTGGCTTCAGGATGGACCGAAGGGGCAAGGATGCAAGCGTGCCCTCGGGAAGGTTGCCCATCCTTGCCATCGGTTCCGACCGTAGGCAAGATGACATAGGAGCCTTACGCCGCGGCTCACGCTGCAGCTGCCAGAAGGCGAGCGAGAGCCCCAGCAGGGCTCTCCGAGGCCGAGGCGCCGAACACAACAGACTTGGACAAGGCCATGATCGGCGGCGCGCCGAGGGGGGAAATGAGAGGGAGAAGGCCTGATCAGAAGGCGGCGGGGCTTCTCAGAACCCCCCATCCAGCTTTCTGAGCGTCTCCTGCGTCTCCGGAGAAGGCTTCAGAACACTTAGCAGAGGGCCGAAGGTATTCCGAGCCTTCTGAGAAGACCCGCGCCTTCTCACTTCGCCTCCTGTGATCAACCAAAAAATACAGCTAACCCTTTGGGAGGGGACCTGAAATAGGAAGGCCCAAAACAATAGGGATACGGGTCTTTCCTGCAGATGTATCAGACCAGACCGCCCAGATGTATTATCACTAATGCGCAGACGGGGACCTCAGTGAGGTCACGTCTTCATCGTGTTATCAAGCTTAGGGGTTCTTTTGTTATCGATGACCCTGGGCTCGCCGCCGACATCAGGGGCTCGCGTGTCGACGCTTTCCGCACGGCGCCGAGAAGCATCCCACCTGGCGCCCTTCATCATCGGGCCCGCTCCGATCGCGCTCGCTTTCGCGCCTTGGCTGGTCCAGGCGTGGCCGAGGCCAGCGACGATCCTCCTCCCCCGCCTTATCCTCCTCCTCCTCCTCCTCCTCCTCCTCCTCTTCCTCCTCCTCCTCCTCCTCCTCCTCCTCGTCGTCCTCCTCCTCCAACTCCTCCTCCTCTTCCTCCTTCTTCCTCCTCCTCCTCCCTCCTCCTCCTCCTCCTCCTCGTCTCGTCCTCGTCCTCCTCCGCCTCCTCCTCCTCCTCCTCCTCCTCCTCCTCCTCCTCCTCCTCCTCCTCCTCCTCCTCCTCCTCCTTCTCTTACGGGTCCTACACGAGATGACAGAGTGACCTTACTCCGCGGCTCACGCGGGCCGCCAACGCGGCACGGTACACTGGAAGCGAAGGCGCTCACGCGCGACCTCCTGCGGGCAGCGCACGCGACGCGCCGGATGCCGGCGAAGACGATCCCGTTGCTCTGCAGCGCTCGGGCCTTCTGGGGCGACGAAACCGATGCATTCGCCCACTGCTCCCCGACCAGGCCCATCCTGAGCCAACCAGCAGTGTGTACGGCCCCGCCCGCCCAGCTTGGCCACGAGGGCGTGCACACCGCTCCCGCGCCCAGAGGGAGGGCCCGTCTGGGCCTGGGGGGCAGCGGGCGTGCGTCGGTTCCGTCGCCTGACAGCGGGCAGGCAGGGGCGGTGCAGGGCGAGGCGGTGCAGGGCAGGGCCGCTGCGGGCACGGACGGGGGAGCAGAGGGGCAGAGCGACAGGGGGGCCCGAGGGCGGCGGGGATGGGCCAGCGATGGAGGTGGCGAGGGGCGGCAGAGCAATCGCAGGGGCCTCGAGAGGAGAGGGGGGCGGAGAGGCGAGACAAGAGAGGCCATGGCCCATGGCAAGACGAGAGGCCCCGATTGAGACACGACCTGCACAAGGAGCCGCAGGAGGAGCGTGGCACTGCCGTGGAGAAGCAATGTGAGGGGTGCCCTGTTGAACTTTGGCGGCCCCTGAGGGACCGTCTCGGACCTCGGGGCCTGAGGAGAGCCACTCGGCGCGCAAAACATAATTACAGCATTTGGAGGCGGCGCGGAGAGGGACGGAGCCCCGACCCATGGCTTCTCGTGGCAGCGGAGGTCTGAGTGTGGAGGAGAAGGCGCCGCCTCGGCGACAGCGGCGGTCCCAGATGCAGGGGGTCCGGCGCAGGCATGCTCGCCCCCGCCTTGGCAGGGCTCCGCGGCGGCGTCGAGGAGCCGAGGTCTGCGGGGTCGGGCGCCAGCGGCGCTGGCCCTGGGCGCGCAGGGCTCCTCAGGGGCGGCAGGGGCCCGAGCTGCACGTGGTCTGGGGCGGGCGGCGGCGGCCCTGGCCTCGCCACGCCCGCCGGCGGCGTCGAGGGGCCAGGGCAGAGGTGCGACCGCGTGGGCGGCGCGGGCCCAAGCTGCAAGAGGTCCGGCGCAGGCGCGGTCGGGCCCGGCCGCGCGGGGCTGCGCGAAGGAGGCGCAGAGCCCGAGCTGGCGTGCTCGGGCGACGGCATGCTGGAGCCCAGGCGCGAGACACCGGAGGCCGAGGACGCGGGCCCCGGGCGGCAGGGGCTGCGCGGCGGCGGCGGCGGGCCAGGCGACGCGGGGTCTGGCGCGGGCGGCGCCGGGCCAGAGCAGCCCACGCCGGAGAGCGAGGCCGAGGGGCCCGGGCGCGCGGAGGAGCGCGGGGGCGGCGGCGGCCCGAGGTGCAGGTGGTCCGGGGCCGGCGGAGGAGGCCCGGGCCGCCCCGCGCCCCTCGGCGGCGGCAGGGGGCCCGAGTGCACGCGGTCGGGCGCGGGCGGCGTGGGGCCTGGCCGCGCGGGGGACCTCGGCGGCGGCGCCACGCCTGGCTGCACGTGCTCTGGCACTGGCGGCGGCGCGCCGGGCTTGGCCAGCCCGGAGGGCGGCGGAGCCGGGCCGGAGCGCGAGGGGCTGCGGGGCGACGGCGCGGAGCCCAGGTGCAGGTAGTCCGAGGCCGGCGACGTCGGGCCGGGGCGCGCCAGGCTGCGCGGCGGCGTTGCGGGGCCGCACTGGCGAGGGGCCGCTCTTTGAAGGCTGCAGCACGTGGAGCCTCCCTCCCTGGCCCAGCTCTGGCGTCGCTGGTTCTTACTGGCTTTTCAGAATCATCCTGGGCCGCTTGCTGACGGTCCCTGGGCCCGTCGAGGGCCTCGAGAGGCGGAACAGGGTAAAATAAAAAATCAAAACAGATCCTTGCCTTTCAAGCATGAGAAACGTACGTCGTGTTCTTGCTGCACGACGCGAAGGGGTCTGAGCTCACTCCTCCCCCGAGTGCGAGCGGAGCACGGCGCGAGCGGAGCCGAGCCCCTAGGCAGACCTTCGTGGCTGCTCGCGCGCCCTGCACGAGACATTGCCCGAGCCAGCCGCCGAGGTGCCGCGGGGCTGTTCCGAGTGGACCTCGCCGCCCCGTGCAGAGCAAGAGCTTCGGGGAACCAAACAACTTGACGTGCATAAGGCCGCCCCCACAGCCGACCACACGGCTGAGGGGAGAACGTCAGAGGGCACTGACGCGCGGGGGGGGGGGGGGGGCAACATCGACCTGAAAAATCGGCGACGCATCGCCAGCGCGGTCAACCCGTATCAGAAAGATGCGCGATGAGGATGCAAGGGCAGTGGAATGACATTTCGAAGCTTTTCGCGCGGGCCGCAGCCAACGAAAGTGGCCAAGGATGGGCCGAGGAGGTAAGGATGCCAGGGAACCCTTGAAAAAGTCGCTCATCCAAACTATGCGGGTTGACTGCAGCTCGGCGACAGGCCCTGCTAGCGAAGCCGCACATTCCTAGGCGGGGTGGACTATTGGGCCCCTTGTCGGAGATGAATTTGCGATTGGGGGTCCATGCATCATCCCCTTGGCGTAGCGGAGTCGCAGTCATGCCCATGTAGAGGACAGATCAGGCGGGGAATCTGCCCACTGGGCCCAGGGTACGCCCTTCGAAACTCTCGCACGGGATGCCCCCTGAGGACTCCAAGCACGCAGGAAGACGTTCTCGGGGCTCCTGGGCCCCACATCCCGCGCCCGACTCGTTCCATCCTCGTCCCTCCCCTCCCTGCCTCCCGCCCTTAGGACGGGGCCAGGACGAGGATACACCCGTTCCAGAGCGTTCCAGAACGCTCTCAGAGCGTTCCAGAACGCTCTGAGAAGGCCGCGGCGCCCGAAACATCCTCAAGAGCCGCGGGATGTCAGAGATTCTCGATTTAACCTTGCCCGATTATATTATTGTCCTGGCTTCGTCTAAGCCTCTACCTTCTATCTGCCGCCATCCCCGTCGAGTATTGGCGGCGCCCGAAAGGGGTGGCAGCGAGGCGGGGCGGGCTTCTGAGAGGGCCGAGGGACTCCTTAGATGGCACAGGCCTCCGTAGAAGGCCCTGGAAGCTTCTGGGAAGGCTTCTTCGCCGCCACTAGGCCCATTCTAAGAAGGCTCTCTGCCTTCTTGAAAGCCCCGCAGCCTTCTCGAAGCCCCTCCCCTCGCACCGCCCCCTTGTGGGCGCCGCCAGGCTTACCGGCCCCAAAACTATACACCGCCACCACCACCACTACCACCACCACCACCACCTCCCACGTACCCTCCCTCTCCCAGGAAAGAGGAGAGAAGGAAGAGGAGGAGCAGGAGGAGGGTCTGGGAGGGAGAGGGAATGGAGGTGGTGGCGGTGAATCTTTTTCGGACCCGCCACGTTGTCCCCGTCCAGTACCTCTTCTGGTCGCCCGTCGCCTGCTGCACCTCTCGGGCGGCCCCGCAGGGGCCAGGAAAATATCGTGCCGCGAGGTGGGCGGTCCGTGGCCCCCACTGACAGCCGCCCTCGCGACTCTTGCCTTCCCGCCCAGCTCCAGCCAGCGAACCTTCTCCTCCTCCTCCTGCTCCTCCTCCTCCTCCGCCTCCTCCTGGTCCTCGCACGTAGCCCGCTCCTCCTCCTCCTCCTCCTCCTCCTCCTCCTCCTCCTCCTCCGCATCATCATCATCATCATCATCATCAGCATCATCATCATCATCATCATCATCATCATCATCATCATCATCATCATCAGCAGCAGCATCATCATCACCATCATCATCAGCATCATCATCATCATCAAAATTATCCTCCTCCTCCTCCTCCTCCTCCTCCTCCTCCTCATCCTCATCATCAGCAGCAGCAGCATCATCATCATAACCACCACCTCCACCACCAACATCATCATCAGCAGCATCAGCATCGGCATCAGCATCATCATCATCATCATCATCAGCATCATCATCATCACCATCATCGTCATCAGCATCATCATCAGCAGCATCAGCATCAGCATCAGCATCAGCATCATCATCACCCTGCATCATCATCATCAGCAGCATCAGCAGCAGCAGCAGCGGCAGCATCAGCATCACCAGTATCATCATCACCACCACCACCATCAGCAGCATCATCATCATCCTCATCATCACCCTCATCCTGTTCCTCTTGATCATCGCCACCATCTCACCACCACCAACAATAACATCATCATCATCAGCATCATCAGCATCATCACCACAACCACCATCATGAGCATCATGATGCGCATGATCATCATCATCATCAGCAGCAGCATCAGCATCATCATTATCAGCGTCTTCATCCTCATCGCCCTCATCGCCATCTTCCTAAGAATGAGAAGTATTACCACGTTTCTTCCCTTCAGAACCAACACCAACACCACCATCATCATCATCAACATTGTCATCATCATAGGCAGCGGCAGCATGAGTATCATCATCATCATCACCATCATCATCACCAGCATCATCATCAGCATAATCATCATCCTCATCCTTATTATCATCCTGATCATAATCATCATCGTCACCAGCATCATCATGATCATCATCAGCAGCAGCAAAATCAGAATGAGCAACAGCATCAGCATCAGCGTAGGCATCAGCAGCAGCATCACCACCACCATCATCATCATCATACTCATTCTCCTCATCCTCATCCTCCTGATAATCTTATTAGCATTATGAAGATCATTCTGTGTTCACTTTCACGATCACCACCACCATCATCATCATCATCATCATCATCACCATGAGCATCATCAACATCACCATCAGCATCAACATCATCATCCTCACCAGCAGCATCATAATCATCACCATCCTCATCCTGATAATAGCATCGTCATCATCATCATCATCGCCATCAGCAACATCATCATCAACATCATCAGCAACCTCATATTCATCGTCCTCATCATCATCAGCATCATCATCATCATATACATCATCACCATCATGTGTATCAACATCAGCATGAGCATCACTATCATCAGCAGAAGCATCATCGTCCACACCCTCATCCTCATCATCCTCATCATCAAACTCATCCTCAGCCTCATCATAATCATCCTCATCATCCTCACCAACACCACCATCACCATCACCATCACCAGCACCAGCATCATCAGCATCATCCTCATCAGAATCACCATCATCATCATCATCAGAATCATCGTCATCGTCATCATCATCATCATCATCATCATCATCATCATCATCATCATCATCATCATCATCATCATCAGCATCATCATCATCATCACCCCTCCTTCCTCACTCCCTCCCTCCCTCTTTCCCTCTCTCTCTCCCTCCCCCCCCCCAGAGGAGGGAGGAGGACCTTCACCCTCCCTCCCTCCCTCCCTGCCCCCTCCAGGAGAAGGAAGGAGGACCTCCTCCTTCCCTCCTTTTCTCCCTCCCTCCCTCCCTCCCTCCCTCCCTCCCTCCCTCCCCCCAAGGGGAGCGCGAACTCGAGGACGCCATCCTGGACGAGGTCCAGCGCCGACGGCGGCGGGCCGAGGCGGCCCAGCCCGAAGGCCGGCGTCGCGGGGCCGGGGCCGCCGAGGCTGCGCGGCGGCGGCGGGGCCCCGAGGTGCACGTGGTCGGTCGCGGGCGGCGCTGCGCCCGAGCGGCACATGCTCCTACGGGAGGGCGCGCGCCGCTGGAGGCCCTCAACGGCCTTAGGCGGCCCTCGGCCTGACCCAGCGGACCCAAGCATCTGGCGCCTCGGCAATTTCGAACCACAGGGTTGCCGGGACCGCTTTGTCATCCTGGGTCGTTTGTTGACGGCCCCGAGGCCCAAGGAAGGCTCCGAGAAGCCGCAAACAACGAACAATTGTTTGAGGCGCCGGGTGTCTGGGAAATCGTGAGGATGCAAGAATCGCCCACGTCCAAACCCGCCGCCGGCTCCTCGCCACTCCGCCCCAGACAGCC